CTCCCTCCCTCCCTCTTTTTGCATTGGCCTTTTTTTATTTTTGGTGAGGGGGTATATGAGGTTAACTGGACTTTCCTGATATTTTCTTTTAAGTTCCTGGCTAGCAGGAGTTGTGTGACATTAGCAGTGGATAATAGTGGGTGTCCCTTGTTTGTGTGTTTAGTTTTGCATTTGTATGCCTCCAAACTATTCCAGCAGAAATCTCAAAGCGACTTAGAACAGCTAATCAAAATTGCAAACATTAAAACGATAAAACCAGTGATATATAGAACAACAGCAAGCTGTGTATGGATGGCATCCCTATTTGTTCTGGGTCCCTTCCCTGGAATTCTTGCACTGCAGACACCTATCCTGGGGAACAGAAGACACCTGGGTGCACATTCACACCAGCATCTTGCTCAGAAGGCTGCCTCTGTCCCAAGATCTCTCAGGCTGGAGGGAGTTTGCTCTTGCTGCAGCAGAAATGAATAGACCTCTTGTATGCAGCTTCTGTGTAGCCTGAGGTGCCTGTTCCTGCCTAATCTTGGAAGCTAAGCAGGATCAGGCCTGGTTGAAGTGTGGATGGGGGACAACATGTTGTGAACTGCCCTGAGAGCTTTGGTACAAGCTACTATGGGCAGTACAGAAATGTAATGAATAATGATGGAATGATTCAGGGGCTGGAGGCAGCCTGAGCATCGATTGCTACAAGATTAATTGTGGGGGTAAGGGTGTGAGCTTTGGCTGCGGGGGTGGTATAGAAGTGAAATGAATAAATAAAGGAGCAGATGAGGGAGCTTCCCTCTGTTCTGCTGCTTCTTTGCCCCTCTTGCTTTGCCCCTCGGTCAGAGAGACCGGAGAGGGCCTTTCAAGGTCCTTGCATTTCCTGACAGTTAGGACCCCGAGGGTGTGAATGGGCTTCCACGGGAGGTGGTTGAGGCCCTATCCGTGTGGGTGTTCAAGGATAGGCTGGACATGCGCATGGTGGGCATGTCGTGAGCTGAGTCGGCTGGTGCCGGAGGTCAGACTAGATGGCCCAGGAGACCCCCTTCTGACTCGCTCTGTTTCTATGTTTCTATGTCTCCTAATCCCCACCTGAGCTTCTGTAGGCCCATCTTGTGGGGCTGGCCTGGGACTGGACTCTCCATCCGTGGAGTTGCAATGGAGCTGTGCCCTTGTCGCGGCAAAAGGTTCCTCTAAGCAGCTGTTAGTCTGAGGAAGGTGTTTGGCCTTCTGGTTTGGGGGCTTGGTTGCCCTGGGGAAACAGATCCTCTGTGGGCCTCCCTGCCCAGCAAGGGGGCAGAAGCAACGGCCTGGGAAGAGGACATGGCCAGGTCCTCCTCCAGAAAAGCTTTGCCACAGTGCCAGAAGCATTCTGGGAAATTCGTACCTTGCCTTCGTTTGACTGGCTCACCGCTGTTGCTACGGATTGACCCGGGGTCTCTCCAGGGTTCCAGGCAGCATCCCTTCCTCGCCTGACTAGAGATAGCGAGGATCAAACCCAGGACCTCCCCCATGGAAGGCAGGGACTCTTCCTCTCAGCTACAGCACCCCCCCACACACACACACACCTTGGTCGCCCCCCAGTTACGCTGCTCACTGCGAGACCCTTGAGCCAGTCACTTGCTCTTAGCCTAATCTACCTCAGAGG